AAGAAATTTACATAATTAAATTAGTTTCGAAAACAATTAAGGTGTCATAAAAAAGTTTCGTGCAACTACAGTAACCTACGTAAGATCACGTATATCGCCCATAAAAAATTTATTCAAGAAAACGATTGGAGCTACTTTGTTTCGCATTGGGTCAGGCACATTTCAGTGTTCATTAATCAAGAGATGTATTGTAAAGTACATGTGCTAAGTTGAATTGAACACTTTTATTCGCTAGATCACAACGTAAATGTGTATTCCATTCACAACGAGTGAGGAAATAATAATAGTTTCAATTACTTCTGAGATGTTCTGTCTGGCATGATGTCAGCAGGACGGGTCGCAATCCATTTCTTGAGATTGGGAATATCATGAACTTTCTTCTCATGAGCAATGATCTGAAAATGTGAATTGAAATCCATTTCATAAACGAACAATCTCACCTCGGGATGGTCATCACTGAAATCAGGCCAGTTTTCTCGCATCGTAGCTACTTGCTCTGCGATGAGAACATCTGCGTAAGTTAGTTCTCCACCAGCCAGGAAACCTTAAAACTTGATAATGAGATTTTAAACTGAATATTTCTAGAAACCAGTAGAGCTTTTCTTCAAGAAGTTTGTAAGAAAACGGAGGTATTTTTCACGAGCAGGTACGTAAATCTCCTGTTTCATTTTCTCCTATAACGCGAATTCATAGATGAGAATGAGAAAACAAAAGAAAACTAACAAGCTCCTCTGCAGTTGCAGGAATGAATCCACGTACAGAATAAGAGTATTGTCTAATTTCGGAACTGAAATCCTTATATTGATCAGCCAGACTGTCCACAATAGCTTGTTCATAATCAGTCTTTCCATAGAATCCGAACTGTTTAGCCAAATACCGTAAAATGGCATTAGTTTGACAGATCACTTGACCATCGACTTCCAAAACGGGAAGTTGCTCGAAAGGCAAAGCTGAACAACACATTAACTTTTTCTTATCATAACATATTCACTTTTCTTCAAAGCTTGGAATTCTTCCATGGTGACACGTTGATCCTCGAACGGAACTCCAGCTAAATGAAAAAGCTAAAAGCGATCATTAGCATGAGATATACTTCAAGAAAGTACCTGACGAACAGTTTCAGCTAATCCACGAATGGAAAAGTAGGTGAGCTTATAGTGAACCATTTTCTGAAAGAAAAAACAGAAATATTCATGAAATAGATGTAAAAACTAACTTTTGAAATTTCAAATTCAAAATAAACTTTTCTCTGAATGAGTGAGCATGGAAGAAACACTTTCTATATATGGGGTGCAGATAATGGAAGATAGAGCACAAAATGATGACAAAAGCGTATCACTTTTATCATTCCATCAAAGTATTATGGAAGATAAGATGACTGGAAGGAAATATGGTTAACCAACTCCCATTTAAGACTCGGAAACGTAAGATTGCAACAGAATGATACATCAGGATTAAAGATGCTATTGAAACAACTCATTTGATTTTTGGTCATCCCATTTGGCCACTTATTTGTCATCAATTAATTATCAGAGATGACAATGGAACCATCCCAAATCTTCCTGAATTAACGCGTATCATGAGGTTTGAGTTGATGAAATTGGTATCCGATCATGACGTAATAGTTATGATAGTATGCTACACCAACAGAGGAAATACAGAGAGAGAGAGAGAGAGAGAGAGAGAGAGAGAGAGAGAGAGAGATAGAGATAGAGAGAGAGAGATAGAGATGAATTGTAAAAAGATAGTGCGAAGAAAAAACATAAAGGTAATGTGCGACTTTGACCAAATCCAAGTGGAATGAATTTCGGCTTGTCTTCTTGTATTGTCTGTTATGATGCCAGCGACCAGCATGTTGATTTAGCAAACAATAACATTCTGAGCAATTGAAACAGAAGATTCGAAACTTTTATTCGAATAGCGAGTATAGTAACCAAATCGTGATTTATTATTGCAGCATAGTCGGGAAACAACGATTGAAGCAATGTTTACGAGTAGAGATGTCTTCTGTAGAGCTGAAAATGCTGAATAATATAGAATGTCCTTCAATACTTACTATTTTTTATATACATCTGAATTTGAATTATGTTCGGACAGTACATGCTCGTTCACAGAGTCCCAAGTTCCTTCAAAGTTGCATATTCGGCAGACAACGTTGTGTTTCATCACAATATGCTGCCTCGCATGCTCTTGCATAGTTGGTAACGATGCTTTGATCGTTACTTGGCAAACTTGACATGTTGCAAAGTTCGATGATTCTTGCGGATTTATCAGAATCTTAGCTAAATCGGGAAAGCACTTCACAGCCGTTTCATTAACTGTCAATTGCTCCAACGTAGTTCTGAAGTGTATGAAGCATGATGGGTCTGACAATCTAACTAACAAACTCGATGAATATAAAGCATTCTTAGTTGATCTTGTGGGATATTGATTGTGAACATCTCGAAGATGGTTCTTAATTGTAGACTCTTTTCGGCACTTGAACGTTTTACAAACGAGGCATTTCAAACTGCAAAAATGAAAAACCTTTAATTGAATCACTACCTTACTTGTCGATCTCAGAATGTTGAACGGCATGTTTCTTGAAAACTTCTGTTTTGTTATTATCCAAAATGAATGAAGCACTACATATCTACAAACAACTATTCTATTCAATCAATAGCAATATACTCACCTGACAAGACAGACTTTTAGCCGATTTATGTTCTTTCTCATTATTATTATTACTATTATTATTTCTGAAATAAAACGAATGAAAACAGAATACTCTCAAGACTCACAAACAACGGAAATACGATGCATACTTACAAGTTTCTTCATACAATTTATCATCATTTTCTATCTTATCCAATGAAACACGACGAATTTTATTAGGTTTAATATCACTTTCTTGATCTACTACATGACGATTTATGAAAAAATCAGACAATCTTTTCTGAAAACACAAAGAGATTTCAATGAGACAAACAACAGCAATTAACCTTTCCTGCTTTGAAATCGACTAAAATATTCCCATTATATGGAGCCATAGATATAACTTAACGATATACAACGAACAAATAAAATTGAACAAGAAGAATTCTCATGAGCAATTATAGATCGAGAATAGATCACTAGATCAATACGATTGTGAGGAGCAGTCATGCCTTTCGTGCATTTTGCGTACATTTTCAATTTTGTGACAACTTATTACGAATAATCGGCTGTGCCACTGAAAAATATTGACCACTGAGCGGATCGAACGCCCAACCTTTCGATCTGGA